AATAGAGCTACCCTATGACCCAGCAATTGCACTGCTGGGTATTTATCCTAAAGATACAAACGTAGTGATCCGAAGGGGCACGTGCACCCGAATGTTTATAGCAGCAATGTCTACAATAGCCAAACTATGGAAAGAACCTAGATGTCCATCAACAGACGAATGGATAAAGAAGATGTGGTATATATACACAATGGAATACTATGCAGCCATCAAAAGAAATGAAATCTTGCCATTTGCGACGACGTGGATGGAACTAGAGGGTATCATGCTTAGCAAAATAAGTCAATCGGAGAAAGACAACTATCATATGATCTCCCTGATATGAGGGAGAGGAGATGCAACATGGTGGTTAAGGGGATAGGAGAAGAGTAAATGAAGCAAGATGGGATTGGGAGGGAGATAAACCATAAGTGACTCTTAATCTCGCAAAACAAACTGAGGGTTGCTGGGGGGAGGGGGGTTGGGGGGGTGGGGTTATTATGGACATTGGGGAGGGTATGTGCTATGTATGGTGAGTGCAGTGAAGTGTGTAAACTTGGCGATTCACAGACCTGTACCCCTGGGGAAAAAAATATATGTTTATAAAAAATAAAATTAAAAAAAAAAAAAGCCACTGTTTCCTTATTGATTTTCTGCTTGGATCAGTCTATTGATGTAAGTGGAGTGCCAAAGTCCCCTACAATTATTGTATTACCATCAATTACTTCCTCTGTGTTTGTTATTAACTGCTTTTTGTATTTGGGTGCTCCCACATTGGATGAACAATTATTTATTTACAATTGTTCAATCTTCTTGTTGAATTGTTCCCCTTATAAAATAGTATCTTCGTCTCTTGTTATAGTCTTTGTTTTAAAGTCTGTTTTTTTCCTAATATAAGCATCCTTACCCCAGGCTTTTTTTTTTTTTTTTTTTCCCCCACTCCCATTTGCATGGTAAATGCTTTTCCATCTCTTCACTTTCCATCTGCATGTCTTTGGGTCTGAAATGAGTCTTATAAGCACCATATAGATGGGTCTTTTTTTTTTTTAATCAATTTCATAATCTTAGTCTTTTGATTGTTTAGTTCAAAGTAATTATTTAGAGGTATATACTTACTACCATTTTGTTACTTATTTTACGGTTCTTCTCTGTTCCTTTATTCTCTTGCTCTTATGGTTTGCTGGCTTTCTTTAGTGATATATTTGAATTCCTTTTTATTTTTCTCATATTACTGGGTTTTAAAAGAAAAGATGTATTTATGTATTTTAGCGAGAGAGAACATGAGCTGGGGCAGGGGAGAGAGCAAAGAACCTCAAGCAAACTCCCCACTGAGCACAGAGCCTCACCTGGGTGGGGGTGTGTGTGTGTGTGTGATTTATCTCACCACCCTATGATCATGACCTGAGCTGAAATCATGAGTCAGATACTTAACAGACTGAGCAACCCAGGCACCCCTATTACTGGTTTTTGTTTTGTGGTTACCATTAGCTTTATATGTAAAATCTTACGCATATAGCAGTCTATATTAAGTTGATGTTCACTTAATATGAACACATTCTTTACTCCTCTTCTCCACTCCCATGTTTTAAGTATATGGTAACATCCTTTTATTTTGTGACACCCTTGACTGGTTTTTATACTTAGTTAAGTTTGCTGCTTTTGTGTTTCCTACATTTCATACTCTTGCTTATGGTCTTTCCTTTCCACTTGAAGAGTCCACTTTAACATTTCTTGTAGGGCTGGGCAAGTGGTGATGAATTCCTTTAACTTTTGTTTGTCTGGGAAAGTCTATCTCTCCTTTTCTTCTTAATGATAGCCTTACTGGTTAGAGTATTCTTGGCTCCAGGTTTTTTTCTTTCAGCACTTTGAATAGATCAAGCCACTCCCTTCTGATTTGCAAAGTTTCTGAAAAATCAGCTGACATCCTTTTGGGATTTCCCTTGTATGTAATGATTTTCTTTTCTTTTGCTTCTTTTAAATTCTCCCTTTTTCACTACTTTTTGTCATTTTAATTACTATCCATCTTGGTGCTGACCTCCTTGGGTTGATTTTGTTGGGGGCTCTCTGTGCCTCATGGATCTCTTTTTCTGTTTCTTACCCCCAAATTAGGAAGTTTTCAGCTATTATTTCTTCAGATACATTTTCTCCTTCCTTCTCTCTCTCTTATCCTTTTGGGATCCCTATAATGCAAATATTACTAGGCTTAATGGTGTCACTGAGTTCCCTAAGTCTATTTTCATTTTTAATTATCTTGTATTCTCTCCTCTTCAGCTTGGTTGTTTTCCATTACTCTGTCCTTTAGGTTGGTGATCTGTTTCTCTGCTTCCTCTGGACTATACTTATTCCATCTTGTGTATTTTTAATTCCAGTTACTGAATTCTTCATCTGTGGTTCTTTTTATGGGTTTTATCTTTTTATTAAGGGTCTCAACTGAGGTCTCTGAAGTCCAGTGAGTACCTTTACAACCATTACTTTAAATTCTGTATCAGCCATGTTTCTTTTCTCTCTTTAGCTCTGTTCCTATGATTTTGTCCCATTCTTTCGTTTGGGACATATTCCTCTGTCTCCTCATTTTGTCTTTCTGTGTCTGTTTCTATGTATTAGGAAAGTCAGCTACAACTCCTGCTCTTGCAAGTAGGAGCTTTGTGAAGGAGAGGTCCTGTAGTGCCCTGCTGTGCAGGGTCTCCTATTCATCAGAACCTAGCACTTGAGGAGTGTCTCCTCTTGTTTTACGCACATACTATTGTGGCTGAGCTGCTTTTCCCTTTGATCCAGTTGATTGCAACGGCTCTTCGCCTACTGTGGGTAGGGTTTGGTCTTTGGTGTTGTTAGTGGGCCAGTCTGGGGCTGCCTTGGGCTTGAGCTGAGTCACACCAGGCATTTGCCAGACAGACAGGGTCACTGATTTTCAGGGTGCTTTCCTGTGTTGTTCCCTAAGAAACTTTTCTTGGCAGACAGGGCTTGCTGTTAGACCAGATGTCTGCTCCTAGATCACTGCTGGGGCTGCACTGTTGGGGCTGCTGGTATGTGTGGTTATCTCCCCCTCTACCCAGAGCAGGAGTCATTTTGGAGTGGTGCTGGTCCCTGTTGGGGGACCTGCCAGCCTTGTACCTGCCAGCCTTGTGGCTCTGCTTTGGATGGGCTCTGGCCAAGAGCTTACTGGAAGGGGGCAGGTCCACAGAATAGGAGATCCATAGTACAATTAACCTGATCCAGTCCTCCTTTGGCTGAGCTTGCTCAACCCTCTGATAGCCTTTGTTTGCTGAGTGCCCTGGGGGCCCACAAAGCTGAGCCACCTCTGCTCCCAAGTCCCTGGGGTTCAGGTGGCCTCCGGCAAGTCAAGCCACTTGGGTCTACCATCTGTGCTTATAATCTCCAGGCTTGTGGGGCTTAGGGCTCCAAGTATGAGGTCTCCAAGTGAGGGCCCCCTCCAACAACCACATCTGTCAGAGCTGGGCCCTAAGGCCTGGTACTGTCCTCCCAGCTATGCCATCAGGAATTAGGAAGAGGCACATCCCTTTCTGACCAAGGTAGACCCTAGGTTAGGGTTTGTGTGGGTCTGCTTTGTCAAGAGACCTGGAGCTGGGGCTGGCTGGAGAGGGCTATCACAGAGCCAATTGATTTTTAAAGTTCCAGATGTTCAGCCCACTAATTTTAAGAATTCACCAAATGTGGCCCTTTTGTTTTTCAAAGCTCAATCTTATGGGGACTTCCCATGCCTGGGGTGCCTGGCATGAGGGTCTCTTCTCTTCCCCTCTCCAAGTCTGTGCCATCCCTCCCTCCTACGGGTCTGCTTAGCTCCCAAACATGTCCCCACCCTTCCCACTCTCCTCTATATGGACTATTCTCTACATTTAACTGTAGAGTTCGTTCTGCCAGTCTTCAAGTTGTTTTCTGGTTATTTACACTGGTAAGAGTTTTATCTAGCTATAGCCATGCAATACAATAAGGTAAGGGTCCTCCTACTCAGCCATCTTCTCTCTCTTTTTTTGGAACAGGTAATGCTTACATGTGGGTAGAAAATTCAGAGGGGAGAAGCTTTACTTTAAAAGCCCCGTTCTCATTAGATCTTACTACCACTTCCTATGAGGCAGGCAGGAGGGATAAAATCCTTATGTTATAGATGTGATAACTTAATCTAGGCAGTATCAGGAGAGCCTTCCTGCTGCTCCGCCATCACTGCAGCCCTCTTCTGTGTTCTGCAGCCCCTACTTCTCCACGTTCTGCAGGGGTGATGATCCCACCCCAAACTCTATGCTGAAGACCGAGCTAATCCAGTTCAAATTCTCTCATCCATGATCTTTTCCATCTAAAATGTTCTGTGTACATCTGAAAATATTTCAGTCCCTCCTTTTTCTTTACATCCTTGGTCCCAATCTTTCGCATGGCCTGTGATTTATCCATCTTCCTCTATGAATTATTCATCTTGTCTCTAGAGTCTTTGGTCCTTGCTAGTGTAGCCACTTCCCTCATACTCAGGTTTCACACTGTGACCCAAAGGATTGGAAAGTCCTTCACTTGTCCTTCCTGTTTATTCCGAGGTTACCATCCTACTGCTGTCCTTTCTACCTCAGTCACTAGTTATCCCTCTTCATGCCCCTAGAATGAATGAGTGAAATCCACTAGTTCTCAGTTCTTAAGCTTGCTGGTCTCTGCAGCATTTCTACTGCTGGTCATCTCTTTTCTCTTGCTCCCTTCCTGTTCTTGGTTCGCCGCCACCTCTCCTGCAGTCTGGGATTCTCTCTCTGCCACTGGAGTGACCTAGCTGTCAAAACTCTGAGCTGCTCTGGTGATTACGTGGCTCAACATACTTTAGGCATCAAGGAATATGCATGGAATCATTTCAAAGAGAAGACAAAGACTGTAAAAAGTAAAAAAGATTCAAAAGGCCCACAAGTTTTTCCAGTTTATAGAGAAAGAAAAGCACCTTTCATCAAGACCGTACTACTTGGGGCTTCTTGAGCACATTCCTCTGGCATCTTCTACTCCTTAGAAAGGTCAAAGAAATCTGAGAAACTTACCATCACTGCCTCGAGATGATATCGATTTCACATCAATGGACTCTTTCCTTCTGTTCTTGTATCTGAATGAATGAGACTCTAAGGATTTTAAATTAGGAACAGAAAGTGAGTAGTTTGCAGCTTATTTACAGATGAAGTTTAGACACATTCCCCCCCGTCCCCATTATCAAAAAAACAAGGTTCCTTTTTAAACCCTACAGAATAGTCTCAAGAAACAGCAAATCGGGGCACCTGGGTGGCTCAGTGGTTTAAGCCTCTGCCTTCGGCTCAGGTCATGATCCGAGGGACCTGGGATCGAGCCCCGCATCGGGCTCTCTGCTTGGCGGGAAGCCTGCTTCCCCCTCTCTCTCTGCCTGCCTCTCTGCCTACTTGTGATCTCTCTCTGTCAAATAAATAAATAAAATCTTAAAAAGAAAAAAAAAGAAACAGCAAACCACTTTTTCTTTGAATCATCAACACAAAATTATCAGTCATATTAATTGTAAAATGATACTCTTCTTGTGACACCCCATTGTATCATGGTAATAGGGCTTATTATCAAGGGCTTTGTAGTTCCATTAATAAAATACTTTTTAAAAAGTAAACATTAAAAGGGGCACCTGGATGGCTCAGTCGGTTAAGCCTCTGACTCTTGATTTTGACTCTGGTCATAATCTCAGGGTTGTGAGAGCCAGCCCGGCACTGGGCTCCTCACTCAGTGTGGAGTCAGCTTGATATGCTTTCCCTCTGCCCTACTCGCTGCTTGCACACGTGCACATGTGTGCTTTCTCTCTCTCTCTCCCTAAGTTAAATAAATAAATCTATTTTTTAAAAAAACCATTGGGGCGCCTGGTTTGCTCAGTGGGTTGAAGCCTCTGCCTTCAGCTTGGGTCATGATCCCAGGGTCCTGGGATCGAGTCCTGCATCAGGCTCCCTGCTTAGCAAGGAGCCTGCTTCCCTCTCTCTCTGCCTGCCTCTCTGCCTACTTGTGATCTCTGTCTGTCAAATAAAATCTTTTTAAAAATAAAAATAAATAAAAATTAAAAAAAAACATTAAAAACTGGGGTAAATTTGGGGGGTTCATTTCAACCTGAAGGACAGTACATGTAACTGGGTGGGGAAGGCTTTTACAGGGCTATCTGTGGAAATAAAATACTAGTGAGATGCACAGAAAGTTGAATTTATTGGAGAAACTAATATGGAGTAATTTTAGGTCCCTCTGAAAGGTCAGACCTCCAGATGGTCTCCTGAGGAGGTCATTTCATCAAATGAGACATACTGCCATTGCCAGAAAGGCAGAGAAGAAAAGGCACATTTTAAATCCCAACCATTTCCACAACTTGACTCTCGCCTCTGTCCCTATTTTCTGAGGGGGTGAAAAAAGCACTTCAATTCTAAGTCTTTGCTGACTTTGAATTTAACACCCAGAATTTGCGGCCATGTCAATCCAAGACTGAAGTACAGAGGGTGCGCTTCCTTCCGGTCAGGACCAAGAGATCAACATGTAAGGGTAGCAGAGTTGGTTTCAGAAACATGCATTTGCAGGGCACTGGGTGCTCATGGAGTGACCCAGTGGTTAGGAGAGAAACTTAATCTTAACAGCATCGCTCCTTACTGGGCTAAGACAGGAGGGGGACATGGCAGATTCCTGCAGGGAGAATGCATTTCTCAGACACCAATATTCCAAGAAAGAAAAAAAAAATTCCAGTGTTCATATTCCAAGAAAGAAAAAAAAAGATGCAATAATGCTCTTTTAAGAATTGTCCATTAGCATGAAAAAAAGTACAAGAGAGAACAGCAGTTAAAAGAATAAGCTCCTGGGTGGCTCAGTTGGTTAAGTGACTGCCTTCGGCTTAGGTCATGATCCTGGAGTCCTGGGATCGAGTCTTGCATCAGGCTCCCAGCTCCACGGGGAGTCTGCTCCTTTCTCTGACCTTCTCCCTTCTCGTGCCCTCTCTCACTCTCTCTTTCTCTCAAAATAAATAAATAAATAAATAAAATCTTAAGAAAAACAACAACAAAAAAAGAGTAAGCTCCAGAGCCCAACTGCCAATGTTCAGGTCTCTACCATGCCATGTACTAGCTGTGTAACCGTAGGAATGTTATTTCTCTGGGTCTCGATATCCGTATCTATCAAGTGGAGTTGGTCACAGCATCTCTCTCAGGCTGTTGGGAGACGTAAATGAGTTAATCCACGGCAGCAGCTAGCATGGTGCCTGCTACACTGTACATATGTAGTTCATGCTGGCTCATAGTATTAACTGTGTCCGTTCATTTGCAAATATACCTTCGAGGCACACATAGGATCATGTTACAATACTGTTCTGCTATTTGCTGTTTTCACTTCAAAATATGTCTTAAATACTTTCTTCTGGATCACCTTTTTTAACCATTTACTTTAGTGTCCCAAAAAATCTGATTCAGTTAAAAAAATTAAATAAGTAAACTTGAATTGTATTTATATAGCAAAAAGTGAAAAGCAGAACTATTATGAAGTTGATCTGAACACCATAACCCTACAGCCTTGTCTTGAGTGATATAACAAAATATTTACACTGTCCCTTTGGCTCATTTTGTCTTCCAGATTCTGCCTTAATAGTTTTCATAGCCTTGGATAGGAGTTTCAGAGTTTATAAAGACAGCAATGGGTAGTGATACTTTACATGACATTGTTAGGATCATATGGCGTCTTTCAAACCTTGAAAACTAACAGTGGTCCCTTGCAAGACACTCCTTTAAGTGCTCTTCAGGGACTTAATAATCTCACATTTCTAACACTCATTTACCACATAATAAATTAAATCTAACTTAATAAAGATTTAAGATTACATTCGAGATTTTAAAAACTCAAGAATTCCTCAAAATTTAATTTCTAAATAAAACTAAAGTAGGGGGGCGCCCGGGTGGCTCAGTGGGTTGAAGCCTCTGCCTTCAGCTCAGGTCATGATCCCAGGGTCCTGGGATCGAGCACTGCATCAGGCTTCCTCCCCACCTCTCTGACTGCCTCTCTGCCTACTTGTGAGCTCTGTCAAATAAATAAGTAAAATCTTAAAAAATAAATAAATTAAACTAAAGTAGGGAAGTTAGTTTCTTGTCTGGCTGGCTGAATTCTAAATCATTCACTAGAAATTACTCAAAGGTATCTAATGCTTATTCCTGATTTTATCTCAGCTAAAGTTAAGAGAATACAGCAACAGAAATTATTAAAAGTTTGGAGAAATTATTCTTCAATAAAAGGCCATTTAAATCAAATAATTCATTATTCATTCTACCAACAGATGCTTATGGAATGAATTTAAAAACCAGAGAAAATAAGGATAAAGGAAATTTAAATAAATTTATTCAATGACAAGAAGGGATATAATATCATCAAGTTTTGGGAAAAAAAAGCTAACATTTACTGAGCACCTACTCTGCAGCAGACATTGTGTTTAAATGTTAAAGTATAGAAATTATCTTTTATGATCATTACAACAATTCTGAAAGCTACATAATGTGATCCTCATTTTGCCAGTGAGAAAATGTAAACTTGGAGAGATTATGCAGGTAGCTCAAAGTCAAAGAGTTAGTCAAATGGGGGAACCTATGTTTTGTAAGATGGGATAGTTTCAACATAGCCATGCTCTGGGAGCATTTTTATTTGGTCTATTATGTGCAAGGCAATGCTGGGCACTGCAAAGGATATGAAAATGGAAGAGGTTTTGGCACCCAGAAGCTCATAAGTTAGTTAAAATATTACACTTGCTATGTACAAGAAATAAACTAAAACATCAGACAGAGACAGAGACACACCAGGAGGGAGGGAGAGGGAAAGGCAGAGTAGGGGAAAGGGTAGGGGAATGGAAGGACAATACCCCACAGCTAAGTATCAGGTACTGTTAGATATTATATACACTTTCTCCTTTACTCTTCCTAGCCACGAGATGGACATTATTAATTCGTTTTACAAGCAAAGAAACTAAAATGTAGAAGGATCAAATTAAGTCTGAGTGTGCTAAAATATGGACCATCCTAGAATCAAGGAGAAGGACTGAATTAGTAGCTCAGGGTCTAACCTTATACATTAGCATCTGGGAAAACCATTAACTAAGCAAAGAAGGTCACGCATGTATGCAGGAACAAGAATTTTAAGTCTTTGAGAGCAGACTGGTTTTTTGCTCTAATGATTAGAGAATTACAAACCTTTCAAATCCAATAGTCATCTGGTCTAACACATTTGAGGATAGAGGAGACAAAGGGTCAGACAGAGTATAAACTGAGGGGGAAGGGACTGAAATGGTGCCTCAGTGCTCTTGACTTCCTGCACAGGGCAGTCCATGCTCTCTAATCATCTAGCCACCGAGAGCTAGGAGGGAAGGGTAGCCTGTCCAGGGTACAACAGTATGTTTCCCCTGGACTTCTGGGCCACTCTCTTTTGGGTTTATTTGCTCTGCAAGGTCTCTAGCCAGCAAAATAAAACCAGGATGGGAAAGGCATTCAGTAGAAAAGGTTACCATGAATCAAGAGTCAAGTTTTGAAGGGATTCTGCTTGTATTCTGACTCTCTCCAGCCTTCCAATACCAGCACTCAGATTTTGGCACTCCAAATTCTGGGGTAGTGAGTGTCTACTTCTTCAGAGTAATTTAGACTTCTTCAGAGTAATTTATAGACTTGAACCCACCAGTGCCACCAGAGTGTGTACGCGTGAAATGGAAGTGTTCTCACCTGTCTGAGAATTGTCTCCTGAATCACGATGAATCTTGTGAAGCTGAAGTTGTTCAAAAGTTTGGGGAAACAAGAGAAAAAAATTTTAAATATGGTATTAGCTACATTTCCAGCTGAACAGTTTCATTAAAAAGCTCTGAAGATTCAAGAAATCAAGAAGTTACACAGATAATATGAACAGATGAAAGATGTACACCAACTGATTATTCTACAAATGCTCTAGTACATTCAGACACTTCTGGGATGCCTGAGCCCGAGAGCAAGGAGATACCCAAGGGATGTGCTTTCTACCCAGGACGTCTACATCTCCTTTCAACTGTTTCCATTTTGACCATTGCATAAATGCAGAAAGACAAAAATCTGTAACAATTTTTTATAAGGCTAATATATAACCTATTTAGATTTTAGACATGTTATAAAATTTTTCTATAATATAAAAATAATCTGAATTTAGGCCTAGGATTTTAAAAACCTCTCTAAAAATCTCTTCTAGTGTTCCTCAATTATGGACAGAGTTGATTTACAAAATGTTTATTCACAAAGAGATAGGAACTTAGGATGCAGCTTAACATCTACTTCCTCTCATTATCAACTTTGGTATCCTAATGATTTTATGCTAATGCTCAATAGATATCTGTCAAATGAGTGAGTCATTAATACTAGAAAATAATAAACACACTTTGGGATTTTGCATTTTTTTCCATTTATAACTAAGACATTGTTATTGGGGTGCATCTAGCTATATCATGCTTATTATCATGCTTCTTTGCTGCTAAATCATCCATTTCCAGTTGCTTCGACAATCAAGTCTCTGTACCTACTCACTGAATGGCATAAGTTAACCTGAAAAACAAGCCAGGTGACTGTGTAGAGCCAACACCAACTGTAATAGCCAGGAGTTCCCTACACATCAGATAACAGGTACGATATTCCAGCTTGACACAACCAATGAACAACGATCACGTAAAACTGAAGTGTTAAAGAAAGGGGGCTTTCTTCCACATTATGTGGAATCATTCCACATAGTCCGAGCCACATGATTATTGAAACAACTACACAGTCAGCCTGTGTGAAATCTTGTTCAAAATGTGTTTAAAGGCTGTGACACATTTATCCCATAATTGTGGGACCTTGTTATTTCTTCTGTGATCAACTGGTTTAAGTTTTTCCTTTACAGATAAAGACCATTTGCTACAAAGCTCCTGAGTGCAACGTGGATTTTTGATACCATACAAAATAAATATAACTTTAGCCTTGCAAATTGTTTTCTCAGTCAGCTTTAGCTCAAAACCAGGTCATCTTAAATACTTAGCTTTTCTCTCTGAATCAGAATACACCTCTCCTTTAGGAACGAAGGCCTATGATTTCCCTGATTACTCCAAAAAGCCCTTGTCTTTTATTGACCCCCACGGGCAAGCCGAATGATCTGTGGAGCTCCTACGCGGCTGACACAGCCCAACCCTGCCTTTCAGAAGCTAGTGCCATGGTCCTGGCCAGGGAGAAGAGGGAACAGAGGGGAGGGGAGGTGAGAGGTACCAGGTCCCTCTGCTGAGGTAGCTTCCCATCTGCCTTTCCCAACATAGGATGTGGTATTTGGCCCTTTTGGAGCAGCAGTCAGGCACACCCCCAAAACCACTGCCCCTGAGACAGTTCACCTAGCGCTGATGGACTCTTTCCTATGGACAGGAACAAAGCCTGGAAGTCACTCCCTGATGTCACCTGCTTTACAAGCGGAGGTTTCACAGGGCCACATTAGCACCTGTCACTCAGGACGCGTCTCAGGAGTCACTTCCTGATCCTCTGAGTTGGGAGCAGTGCCTGAGGCCCTCTGCTGGTTACCCTCCAGTGGCACTAGGCTTTCCTCAGAGCTTCCCGGCTCAGGTTCCCTCCTTCCCTCTTGGGAATACCTCCCCCTCCCCAACCCCTTTCACAACTGAAGATTCACTTGGATGAAAATTCTTTAACAGTTCCAACTCTTTTCTTGGAGGTCTAAACCCACATTTATAACTTGGCATGAATGAGTCCACTGGAATTATTGCCTCATATTTCTCATCTGTGTTCTCTGAGGAAGTCAACAGGGAAGGAGCTGCTCTGTAGTTGGCTGTTCTCCAAGAAGCAGCCAGGAGGGTAACCTGGGCTGGAGGGCTGTGGGGCATGGAGAGAGACGGAGCGGCTGTGCCATGACAAGGGCACCATCTCCTCCATGTCTGCCATGTGCTAGCACCTTTGCATTTGCCATCAGGCTAGTCAGAACAATACCCCTGGCAGAGGAAGGACCATCATTCCTCTGATAGATGGGGAAGCCGAGGTTTCACTTGCCTGACCCTCCCAGCTAGTACACAACAGCACCCAATTTCTAACTGTGATCAACGGCTCCAAACCCACTTCCTCTTTGTCACAGAGCTCTTTACAGGGAGGACCCACAAGGGAAGCTCTGGGCCCAGGCCTGTTTAATTGGGGTCTGAGGACAACATCCTCTGTGGGACAGGAGGGCAGCTCTTTGGAATACAATTTCCTTTGAAAGTTTGGGGAAGGCTTGAATCTCTGCTATCTATAGGTTTTGTCACATGTATGCTAAAGTAAAGCAAAGCAGTCATAATTCAGTGTCCCCAAGTCAACCACTGTCTGTGGAGTGTTTTTGTTTTCCCTTTTGTGAAAGAAAGCTTAAAGTGTAAAATGTGTCCACATGAAGTCATGACTGGGAATTTGGATCCCTGTGTTTCTGGGGAACCTAATGCTTTAGCACTAAGTTCCTACAACATGAATACCGCGGGCCTCGGCCTATGCTGCTCCTGCCAGAGCTCAAAGCTGTGATTTCTTAGCAAGTCCTTGGAAGCTTACACCTTGTTTTGGGGGGGGGTGGAATTTATCATTTTGAACCTTTAATTATTTAAAATGTTACAGGTTCCCACAAATGTTGCTGTCCTTGTGCTAAATGCTTTGTTTACAAAAACATGATTATGCTTGGCTCTAAAAGGCCCCACAAATTCTGGGTTTTGTGTGTATGTGTGTGGAAGAGAAAGATTTCAGGGTCATCTGATTGTTTTCCTCTTCTGGAATAACCATTTAAAACCATTTTTATTTTCTCTACACACCCACCACAGTGTCTAAAAAGAAATTCTGTCAAGGCTGTGGAATAGCTGGAACTCTCATACCTTGCTGGAGTGAAGAGAAAATTGTACCATTGCTCTGAAAACAGATGTGGCAGTCTCTTATAAAATTAAGCATACACCTACCCTATGACCCAACTCCTCAGTATTCAGCTTAACTCCTAAATATTTACCCAAGATAAACAAAAGCATATGTTGTTCCCCAAAAGTCTTCTCTAAGAATGTTCAAAGGAGCCCAAAACTGGAAACACTCCAGAAGTTCATCAACAAGGGAAATAAACTGTGGTCAACTGATACAACGGAATACTCTTCAGCAAAAAAAAAGAAAAAGGGAAAAATTATGATATATATAACACAGATGCATCTCAAAACATGGTGATGAGTCACAGAAGCCAAACATAAAAGCATAGATATTGTATGCAACTCTAGGACAGGCAAAACTCATCTGTGGTTAAGTATTCAGAACATGTTCCCTTTAGGGGTGGGAGGGGTAGGAGTAGAGGCAGGGATATATGGCAAGGCCCGGAGAGAACTTTTGGGATAGTAGATTTGGGACCTTGATGGGGCCTGGATTACAGAGGTATGTGCATCTGTCAAAACTCAAGGAATGCTATACCTAAGATCTGTGCATTTTACTATATATAACTTTCACCTAAAAAATGAGAAAACCTGGATACAGGTATTAAACTCTAGTCAATAATACACAGGGTAAAGTGCCAAGGGGTGAAATGTCCTGCTATATGTAACTTAGTTTAAAAGCTATCAAAGACTAAGAGGGACTGATGAATAATCAAGGATAGGTGGATAGATGACTGAGCAAAACGGTCACTACACGACATAGGTGGTGGCCTCGTGCATATCTACTTACAATTCTTCTGACTCTTCTACAGGTTTGAAAAATTTCATAATAAAATGTGGGAAGATTATATATTCAACTGAGAATATGGAAGAATGGCTAAAAATTGCAAGTCTGAGCTATAATTTAAAAGTCTGTAAAAATAAATAGGATGAAGGCAATTTAGAAAAACTTGAAACTGAGCAAAGTGAATTACATGTCATGGTCCCAGGAACTCCCAACCTACCATGAGCCTGGGTATGAAAATGATGTTCCACTTCAAACTGTAACTAGTGAATTGTAAATAGCAGCTGTCTTAGAAGTGTAGATTTACCCAGTTAACTATTTAATAGACGGATTTTAATGATTTCACTGACTGACTTTATGAATTATGTAATTACAAATGAACCTAAATTCTCTTATGTCTTATGGAAGAAAAACCTTGAGAAATAATTATATGAAAACAAGACTCTTAATATAATATGTTAAAATTAATTTTTTGAAACTGTAAAACCATGGGACTTTTTAGCAGTTAAAATGAGTCAAGGCTAGGATCAGTGTAATAATAACAAGCAAGCAAACAAATACTAGATAACTCCTTCAACCTGCATTTCAGAGTCACCCTGGGAATCTGAACGGCATTTGGTAGAAACGTCCAAGGCTGCTTTTGTCATTATGGAATGGCCAAGTTATAAAAAGCGTCAGTCTCAATTCAAATTGCCAGATTTCCCAATGTATAAACCTGGGGTGTCCATCTTTGACGCTTCTTTTTCTCTCGTCCCCATACCTAGTCCATCATCAGATCCAGGAAAATCTCCCTTCTCAATACCTCTGGGATCACCCCCTTCACCTCTCTCTACTGCCAGCATGCAGATGACTGTCAGCTCTCATCTTACCTCAGCCATCCCTCCCAGCCCAGCTCATTCTCAACTCTTTCGACCAGTGTTACCTAAACTACATTTAATCCTGTCATCTTCCTGCTTAAAACACTTCCCAATGGTCTTAGGGCCAGCCTTGTGGGACAGCCTGGCTGTGGGGCTGTGCACTGTGGCCTGGCCCCTGCTGCTCTGCTGGGCTACTGTCTTGCAGGCCACCACT